AGCTCCATCCCCAGTGTGGGGTGGGCAGGAGGCAGCCGGTCCATGGTTCTCTCTCATCACTGATGCTTCTCTCTCCCTCTCCCTTTCTTCCTCTCTGAAGTCAGTAACAATAAGCCCTAGGGTATCTGTTTATTCAGTGATGCCTGGACACAGGTTAGTTGTCATAACCTGGGGGGGAGGGGAGGTGTTGCTGGGACCCCGAGGGGCTCGCAATGCTGCCAAACAGCCTACGACCCACCGGCAGCCCCTCAGCAACAGCCTACGTGGTCCCAAACACCGCTGGTGCCTGCAGGGGCCTCGCCCATGGGCTGAGAGACAAGACTATGGATGGCGTGGGGGAGCCAGGGAGGGCCTCACCCGGTGTGACTGGGGGCCTCATGCGAAGAGGGGACAGGACACACACACACACACACACACACACACACACACACACAACTGGGGTCCCCGTGCGGAGAGAGGACAGGACACACACACACACACACACACAACTGGGGTCCCCGTGCGAAGAGAGGACAGGACACACACACACACAGGGGCCGTCTGTGGACACAGAGGGGCGGGCCTCAGGAGGACCCATTGGTGAGCCGGGTCTCAGGCCCCAGCCTCCATCCCGTCGGGATGGCCTGAGCAAACGTGTGCATCCGGGAAATCGCCCCCGAAATGCATGGGTGTGTCGCAGGGAGGCGGGCGCATGGAGGCGTCTAGAAAACCACCCGGGACCGGGCGCCGAGGGGGTTTGCCGCCACCGAGTGCGGCTCCGGGCACAGAGGGAACCGTAACCGCGAGATGCCTTTGGAAGGGAGCGGACGAAGCCTCACTCTGTGTGAAGTCAAAGGAAGGACAAAGCCAGAACTGGTGTGGCTCAGTGGATAGAGCGTCGGCCTGCGGACTGAAGGGTCCCGGGTTCGATTTTGATCAAGGGCACGTACATTGGTTGCGGGCACATCCCCAGTCGGGGGTGTGCAGGAGGCAGCTGGTTGATGTTTCTCTCTCATCAATGTTTCTAACTCTGTCTCTCTTCCTCTCTTAAAAAAAAAAAAAAAAAAAAAAGTAGAATATATTTAAAAAAATAAAAAAATAAAGGAAGGAAAAGCTCTGGGAAGAGGGGACTGACCAATGGAAGGCCACGCTGTGGAACAGAAAACAAGACCGAGAAGAACCAAACTGTTTGGAGGGACGCCACACGGACACGGAACCGGGGGGGGGGGCATGCAGACAGCGTGTCCCACCACCCCCTGCATTTGGAATCGAATGCCGAGCCCTCGTTCGTTCATGGCGTCCCGTGAGCCCTGGGACGGCTCAGAGGGAGGTCCTGGCAGACGAGGGACAGCCCCACACTGCAGAGGGAGGCGTGTGAGCCACACACTCTCCCCGCAAGCGAGTTGCATCAGAAACAAATAACAGCGATAAAGCGCGGACTTCTTGGCCGTTAAGAAAACATCTCTTAAGAGAACCTCGGATCAAAGAGGAAAATCAAAACACAAAATAAAAACTGCCGAGAAAGCCATGAAAAGGGCCGTGTTCCACGGTGAGCTCTGTGTCACAGCTAATGCTGCCGTCAGAGGAAAATGGATGGCCCGGTGTGCCTTTTGGAAGGAAGACTTTCCATAAAGGAACGGGGAGGCACTCGGAATTAAGTCAAAGGGAGGACGGCGTTACCCAGGAGGAGGGGATAAACATGAGGCCACGCCGGGGAGAGGAGACGAGGCGAAAGAGGCGGCGTTCTGGCAGGCCGAATGCCCGATGGAACAAACCTCTCCTGAGTTTGGTGCGGTTTTCGTTTCTTAAATAAAAGCAAAGCAGTAAAGCTCGAAGGAGGGGAAAGAGAGGCAACAGCTACAGAGGAACATAAATCATCCAGAGGAAACGTGTGTCTACCACGTGGTGACACCCCAAACCCCGAGGAACGGGACCACGAGGAGTAAATTACCCAGAGGCGCGGCGAGCCAATCGGAGCGAAATCCGTTAACCAGGCGAAGAGAAGCCAGGCTGGGCTCCGGCCCGGGGACTGACCGCTTCCTCCCTTGGGGGGGCGGGCAGCTCCCCGTCCTCCGTCTGTCCCGGGGCACAGGGGCAGGCCCCCTTCTGTCAGCACCTGCTCGGCATGCCTGACGATGGGGCCTTGATCCTCCAGCCCCGGGCACTGTCATTTTGGGGGTCAGACAACAGGGGCGCCCTTCTCCAGGCAGAGGGGACAGTGCAGAGTGGACGGACTAGCAAGGCGGGCATGACGGAGCGGGGAGGCTGGCTCATGCCTGCTGTTTAATACACGCACACACATGCACACACACATGTACACACACACACACACACACACACACAAACACACGTCGGTGTCTGGGTAACAGACCCCTGAGCAGACGTGCGCTCCCGGCAGGCTCGGAGGGCGCCTGGGCCTGTGACGTGCACGGAAGCAGCTGTGTCCCTCTCGGGGAGCCGCGGTCCGCACGCACACCGGTTCCCACAGGAGCGCCGGAGCCCACCCGGCGGGCGCTATCAGATGCCTGCTATTGAGCCATCAGATAAGCCAGGCATTCTAGCGCCTTAATTTGTATTTCCCTTATCATAATGCAGCTTATCAGCGCCTTTTCATCCCCAAGACTGATTGGTATTTCCTTTCCTGGGAACTGCTTCTCGCCGAGTGAGCCTCCCCCTGATTTACGGGAGTGTGCAGCGGCGATAACGTGCCACTGCGCCGTTCCCAGGCCCAGGTCTGGCTGTTTGCTCGCTGCAAGAAGTTTTCCTTTGTGAGGCAGGACGGACACGTGAGCTTCGTGTGTGTTTGAAGGGTACAATCTGGTCACTGTCACACGCGATGAGACCGTTGCCACAGTCAAGGTCATGGTCGTACCACCCTCACCCCCGCCCCCCGCTCGGGAGTCCTGTGTCTGTGTCCCGTGGACGCCTCCCCAAAACCGTCCCCAGGCCCCCCATCCCTAGGCGGCCTCTGAGCGTGTCCCTCTACGGCAGTCTGCGTGTCCTGGGTCTTACAGAGGTAAAGTAGGACAGTGTGTGCTCTTTTTTTTTTTGGCCTGGCTTTTCTCACTCCTAATTACTCGGAGCCCTCTCACTGCTCAGCCAGTCAGAGCAGGTCCTGATTCACCAAGGTTGTAGGTCTGACCCCCCGTCGGGGCACATACAAGAATCAGTCAATGAATGAATGCGTCAATACATGACACAAACCTCTCCCCCCTTCTCTCGTCAATAAAAAATAATGGTTACTACTTTGAGATTCACCCAGGCTACTAGAAACATTAATAGTTTATTCCTTTTTTTAAAAAAAAAAATATTTTTTTATTGATGTCAGAGAGGAAGGGAGAGGGAGAGAGAAAGAGAGACACATCAGTGATGGAGAATCACTGATCGGCTGCCTCCTGCATGCCCCGGCCGGGGGATCGAGCCCACAACCTAGGCCTGTGCCCTTGACCGGACCCTTCAGTCCGCAGGCCGGCGCTCTGCCCACTGAGCCGCCAGCAGGGCCAGGAAGAGTGTATCGCTTTGTCCCTGAGCTGCACAGATTTAAGGGAATGTTCAAAGCTGCCGGCCTGTGGGTTTCCCGTTTTCCTAAAACCGCCACGAGCTCCGTACGGGGTGGGAGCGCCTCTCTCCTCGCCCCCCGGCCGGGCCGAGTGCGGGAGGGGGTGGCGTCCGCCTGACCTCCCGTCCGCCCGCCCACGGTGCACCTGCCTGGCTGACGGAGGCCTGGGCCTGTCGGCTGTGGGACGGAGCCCGGGCCGCCCCTGCCCGCATGCCAGGCTCTCCACGCCATGCCCCGGGCGGCCCTCGGGGTGAGGCTGGCCAGGGGCTGCGACGGGACAGCCTCGCCAGGGAAGAGGACGGCCGTGCGGAGCCGCTCGCCAGGCGCCGACCTCCGGGCATGGCGCCTCGCCCAGCAACGCGGCTGAATGGACCCAGCGCCGGCACGCAGTTGGTGACGGGGGAGGCCTCTCCCGGCCCGACCTGCCCATTAGCATCCGCAGAAAAGCCCCCATTTGCATCCCGACAATGGCCCTGCCCCAGCCCCGCTGTGGGCACCGGGCATCTGTGGGCACAATTGTCCTTTGTGCCCGCTCCGGCGGCGGCCGAGGCACGTCCCGGCTCACCGGGACGCGGCTGGGCCGGAGCCACAGCCAGAGGCACGTGATGCGGGCACGGCCCCGTCCTGTCCGCCCGGCTCCCACGGTGGTGCCTGCCCCCGGCACGGCGGCTAAGGCCCCGGCCCCCGGCCCCCCGCGCACCGCCCGCCTCCTGCAGGGACAGTCACGAGCACAGAGGACACGGCCGGTCTCTGCCCGTATGAAGGGGGCAGACAGGCTTGCCACGCTAGGACGATGGCCCCGTGGGTCCCAGGACCCGTCCGTGAGGGGAGGGGGCCTGGGAGGGACAGCGAGCGGAGTGCCTGGTGCCAGCCCCTGGTAGGGGTCCGTATTGGGGGCACCCCTCTCCTGACTCGGGGCACCAGCCACCGCATGACTCAGGCGCCCCGGAGCCTGGAGTCCAGGACAGTACGGGGGTGCAGGGGGGGTGCAGGGGGCAGACCTCCTGCAGGGATTCGGCACCCGGCTTGAAGCAGGGACGGGGCTCTGAGGCGACGCCGGGCCCAGGGACCCTGAGCCCACCGGATGGCAGGGTCCAGGGACGGCAGGGTCGGGGACGGCGGGGATGGCGGGGTCCGGGGACGGCGGGGTGCGGGGATGGCGGGGTCCGGGGACGGCGGGGGGCGGGGACGGCGGGGACGGCAGGGACGGCGGGAACAGCAGGGACAGCGGGGACGGTGGGGACGGCGGGGTGCGGGGACGGCGGGGACAGCAGGGACGGCGGGGTCCGGGGACGGCGGGGACAGCAGGGACGGCGGGGTCCGGGGACGGCGGGGGGCGGGGACGGCGGGGACGGCAGGGACGGTGGGGACGGCAGGGTGCGGGGACGGCGGGGTCCGGAGTGGAGCGGGCAGGGGTGCGAGCGCACCCAGGCCCCGCGCGGCCCCCCGGGGCGGAGCTCACCGGCGCTGTCGTAGCCGTCCACGGAGAAGGGGTCCAGCCGCCGCTCCTCCGCGGCGAGCTCGCACGTGATCTGAGGGACGGAGAGCGTCTTCTCTCCCGGGCTCAGCCCGTTGTCCTTGTCCAGCTTGAACTTCTTCCTCTTCACCTGGAACAGCAGCCACAAAACCCCACGATGAGCTGGCGGTTCCCGGGTGTCTCCCACAGCCTTTCCACCCACAGGGCCTGGCACCCCCACCCTCAGGGGCTGGCCCCAGCCCCCCCCACAGGGCCCGGCCCCAGCCCCCCCCCCCACAGGGCCCGGCCCCAGCGCCCCCCCCACAGGGCCCGGCCCCAGCGCCCCCCCCACAGGGCCTGGCCCCAGCACCCCCACCCACAGGGCCCGGCCCCAGCGCCCCCCCCCACAGGGCCCAGCCTCAGCCCGAAAGCTCACGGCCGGGGCAGGTGGACAGGCGGACATGGGGCAGACGCGGGGCCCGGGGACCGGGACTGGGGCCCCAGAGGCTCGAGCGTGGGAGGGGTCTGCGGGGCCCAGGCGCCTGGAGCCGTGCCCGGCGGGAGGAGAGGCTCAGCTGCCTGGGGCCCCAGGAAAAGGTTCCGGCCGAGGGACGGGGCGCAGAGGCCGCAGAGGGAGCTGGACGCTGAGGCGGGTCCCCTGGGATGGCCTGGGCCCAGGGGGACCCCCCACTGCAGCCAAGCCTGCGCGGAGCCCCCCGCTATCCTGGCTGTGACTCAGCCCAAAGCCGGGCCCCTCACGGCCTCCTCCCACAGCTGTGCACCTGGGGCCCCGCTGGCCTGTCCCGGAGGGGGAGGGGGTACCATGGCCGACTTCTTGGGCCGGGGGCTGGGGGAGAGCAGCGCGTGGCTGTGGCTGCGGGGCAGCTTCCGCACGTAGATCTTCCAGGTGGCGGAGTCGGGGTTCTCGGCTGCGTAGCACCTCCAGGCCGTCTGGAGCCGGGGAGAGGCTGTCATCGCCGAGCCGTGGCGGGGGGCTGCCGACGCTGCAGCCCGATCCTGCTGTGCCCCCGCCCCACCCGCTGTGCCCCCGCCCCACCCGCTGTGCCCCCGCCCCACCCGCCGTGCCCCCGCCCCACCTGCTGTGCCCCGCCCCCTCCCAGGCCCCGCCCCACCTGCTGTGCCCCCGCCCCACCCGCTGTGCCCCCGCCCCCTCCCAGGCCCCGCCCCAGCCCCGGGCAGCGGGCAGCACACGCCTGGCACCGGGGCTGTGGCCCAGCCCGGAGGCCGTGGCTGTGACGCTCCGAGGCCTGCGGCTGCCTCTCCGCTGAGCCCGGGCCCCGACCCCCGGCCGCGGGCGGGCCCTCACCTGGATGAGCGAGGCCGCCGCCGGGATCTGCCGGTTGAAGTGCTTCTGCCGCTGCTTCTGCTGCACCTTCAGGGCGAAGCCGGAGCCGAGGATCCCCTGGGGGAGATGGTGCTCAGCCCCCTCGGCCGGGCTGCCGGACGGCACGGCCAGGCAGAGGGCGGCGGCCGAGGAGGACCCTCTGCACCCGGGGGGCTGACGGGGGACCAGCCCTCACGCAGGGAGACCCCCGTGCAGAGGTCCAGGCGCACGGGACATGTGCACCCACAGCACTGCACTGTGCCTGTGACCGTGCGCGTCACCTACAGTATCCACAGCACACACGCAATGTGTGCGCACCACACACACACGGGACACAGGTACAGACACCACACGTGCCGGGTGCAGAGCACGTGCAAATGCATACAATGCGTGCACCCGTGACACACACACACACACATGCATGCCCACACGGTCACACAGCACACGGTGTGCGCGCACACACGCAGAGTGCGCCTGACTCACCCTGGGCCACATTCACTCCTGGCTGTGGGTCTGGGAGGGACGAGGGCCCCTCCCAGGCCACAGTGCAGGGCACGTGCTCCCTCCCGGGCACCACAGGGCGGCCGCTGTTGGGGTTCACCCTACCCCTTGGGGGCTGAATAAGCAGGCTGCCCCCCAGGAGCAGGGAACGGCCCTCCCTCTCGGTCGCCTCTCCACAGGGGCCCGGGCAGGAAGCTGGGCGTCTCGTGTTTTCTCCAAAAACAGTCTGCTAACAGGACCCTGCTCACAGGGAGAATTCTGTGCACAGCGGGACCTGCTCACAGGGGGACCTGCTCACAGGGGGATCCTGCTCACAGGGGGATCCTGCTCACAGGGGGATTCTGCGCACAGGGGGGCCCTGCTGGCCTGGAGCCCGGGGGAGGCTGGTGAGCACCTACCGCTGGGAGCGCGAAGAAGGAGATGGCGAAGACGGAGAAGCAGGAGGCGATGGTCTTCCCGACCCACGTCTGGGGCACCTTGTCCCCGTAGCCGATGGTGGTGACCGTGACCTGGGAGGCGGGGAGGGGCGGTGGTCAGCGCCGGGGCCCCAGAATCCGGGCACAGGCATCTGCCTCCCTAAACCACCTCCACCCCACGAGCAGGGCAGGTGGTCTCTGCCAGACTCCTCATGTGCTGCCCTACTAAGCGCTCTGCACACTATGGGGTCCTGCCCGGCCGGTGCATGCGGGGTGGGCGGGATCTCCACCATGTGAGCTGCTCCTGGGCCCACTCACTGGGTGGCACGGGCTGGCGCCGACGGGAACCGGGCCGCGCGGACCCCAGGCCTCCGCCTCCCGCCCACGCCCGCGCCTCCTCACCCCGGGGGCTGTCCCAGGCCACCTACTGAGCACGGCCCCCGACAGGATGACACCACTTCCTGACACCACCAGCACCACATGTTTCTGTCCTTTCCTCCCCGAGATGCTGCCGCAGCCCCGTCCCCCTCCCGTCTGGGGTCTCCGTCCCCGGCTGCGGAGTGACAGTGGGGCTGGGGCTGGGGCTGGGGCTCCGGGCCCCACCCCGGGGTTCCAGCGTGAGCTGACAGGACGTGCTGTAGGGACTCTGGAGCCCACCCGGCCCGGCCCCGAGCTGCCCACCGAGTCTGGGAACCCCAGGGCCTGGCTTGAGCCTGGGCAGGGGACCAAGGGTGCCTCCGCGCCTGCTGCCCGGCGGGCACAGCTCACACCTGCACGCAGGACAGCAGGCTCGGGGCCCAGGGTCCCCGCGGCTCCGGGGCCGTGGGAGACCTCCTGGCGGGTCCTGCCACCCGTGGCCAGGCCGGCCTGGGCAGCGGCTCCTCCCTGCGGGAGGCCAGGCCAGCGAGCAGCCTCCACAGCCCGAGGTCTGCGGGGACCTCCCTCCATCAGGCCCCGCCCCCTGCCCCCGCTCCCCGCCCCCGCCCCCAGCCCCGGCCGTGTGGAGCGGGACGTGGAGCCTTTGTCCGCCGGAAGGCACGGCCCTCGCGGCCACGTGGCGCGGTGAAACCGGGGAGCGAGGCGCGGCCGGCGGAACCGGGCGGGGCGGCCGGGCCTCAGAAGACATGGCAGGTCCCGCCAGCCGGCGCCGCCCCGCGCCCTCACCGCGCTCAGACACCTTCCTGCTGGCAGACACCACGCACACACAGAGGGGGCCAGGGCCTGGCGTGCAGGACGGCCACACGGCACACCTGTGCATGCCTAGCACACACTCACACGCACACACGGCGCGGCAAGGTCACACAGAGCGGCTGCTGCCAGGTCGAGCCTGACACCCGGGCACGCTCAGACCCAGGCCCTCACACCCCGAGCCGAGCCCGGGGCCTCAGGGTGGGACAGACTTCCTGGAGCCCAGGCCAGGCGGAGGGGGTGGCAGAGAGAGGGCCTGGCCCCCCGTGGGCCGCCTGCGCCGCAGCTGCCTCTCCAGCCGGGCCCTGGGCGCACAGGCGGCTTCGGGGCTGCAGACGGGCAGACACCCCCCCACTCCGGGGCACCGCCCCGCCCGCCCCGGGAAGCAGAGCCGTCCTCAGGAGCTGGCTTTATTCTGTAAGCAGATGTTATCAGCGTGTGAGGCACATCTCTTATTTTCGACGAGTTACTGTGGAGGCGTTTAGCGGTGCCTCAGTTTCCCTCTGTGCTCAGCCCCACAGACAGCCCCCACGAGCACACAGGTTCTCAGGACTTCGGTTGCTGAGAGTAAAACGCTCCGACCAGGGCTGCAAGGCAGGGACCTCGGGGACGAGGCGGCAGCGGGGGGCACCCACACCTGGGCACAAAGGCTCGGGGCGCCCGGAAACTCAGGAAACATAACAGAAACGTAACACGGCCTTCGAAATAACCAAAACTCCAGCAAAAGCCCACAGGGAGGGAGGGCCGGGAGGGAAGGGCTGAGGGGGCAGCGGGAGCGGGTGGCGGGCGAGGGGCCGGGCCCACGCCGTCCGCGAGGTGCAGGGGCTGCCCGCCGGCCGGCCAGCACAGCCGGGGTGCCCGGGCCGGGGTCCCCAGCCCCCACGGAGAGCCAGGCCGGAGCGGGGGACGGCCTCGCCGGTCACAGACCCTCTTTGTCAGTTAACGAGGTCCCGCCTGAGGAAATGCCGTCCTGGCTGTTTGTTTTTCCCGAGCTGCAGACGCCGCGGGCTCGCCCCCACCCTGCGCGGCAGCCAGAATGCCGAGCGGCACGTCCGCGGGCCCGCGGGCCGGAGGGGGGGCCGGGGCGGCCGCCGCGGGCCGGCGCTCAGACGCGACGGCGCGGACCCGGCAGCCGCTCCAGGGCCGCGTCCTCCCACGAGCCCCTGCTGCTCCCTTCCCTCTAGAAGGATGGGACGCGAGGGCTCCACGCGCTCTGCTGAGGCCGCCCTCCTGGGCCGAACCCGGACCCCGCTGGGCACCCCACAGGCTGATGCGTCTGGGAATGGAGCTGCCATCTTCCCGGGGGGCGGGTGGCCAAGAGCAGGGCCCTCAGGGCTCCCACGGGTGCACGTCCCCTCGAACTGGCACCAGAGCCCTGAGCGAGGGAGACGGAGGCCGGGGCGGCTCTGTGCCCAGCATCACCGCGGGGAAGTGGCCTCGGGCGTGACCGAGGCCGGCCCAGCCCCGGACGCCACGCCCGGAGGCCAGGAAGGCACACTGCGGTTGGCGAGCCACATGCGGCTCTCTGGCCCCTGGAGTGTGGCTCTTCCACAAAACACCACGGCCTGGGCGAGTCTATGTTGAGGAAGTGGCCTTAGAAGAAGTTGAAGTTTAAAAATTTTGGCTCTCCAAAGGAATGTCAGTCTTCGTGCTGTGGATACGTGGCTCCGTGGACGAATGAGTTTGCCAACCACGGCCCAGAGGCAGGGCCCTGGATGGGTGGGCTCTGGGCGTGGGGTGGGGCTGGGCTGCCACCCCGGGGACCAGGGGCCTCCGTTCCCCCAGCTCCCAGGAGGTCCTGGCACTGGCCCCGCCAGGGCTCCTGTGTGCGTGTCTGGGGCCCCCGCCCCCCGCCAGGCCGGAGCCACCGGAGCAGCGATGAGGAGGGCGGGGCGGGAGTCGGACCGGGAAATGGCGGCCGAGAGGAGGCGGCTGCCTGCTTCCACGCCGGACTCTAAATTTAGACCCGGGAAACCAGAGCCCAGCGGCTCCGACCGAGACCCCGCTCGGAACAGAGGCCGAGTGTGAGAGCTGCCGCCGCCGCCAGCGTGAACAAACACCCGTTCTGTTCCCGGCGAAGGAGCGGTCCCCACCTCCCACCTGCGGCCGCACACGGGGGGCGCTCACACCACAGGGCGTCCCCACCTCAGGGGGACGGGGCCCAGCCACGGAGCCAGCCCCGCTGCGGTGGGAACTGGGGGGGGGGGGGCAGCTCTGTCCCGGACTCTGGGACAGCCCGGGACCCACACCCCACAGCCCGGTGCCAGGCAGAGGCCCCCGAGGCACCGGCTCCTATGCATCCATCCGTTCACCCAGCAGCCACCACGCTGCCGGGCCGCGGGGCGCTCCCAGCCTCCCGCGGGGCTCCGGCTGCAGAGGAGACGCAGCGTGCAGCACCCCCAGGCCCCGGCGCCCCGTCTTGGGTCTGCCCCCCACGACTCAGCAGCTGGTCTGGCTCCCGGGCGGCCCCAGCCTGCAGATCCGGGACCTGGCCCTGTCCGGGGTCCGGGGTCCGGGGGCCTCACCCCCCATGGGGTCGGAGCCCCCGTCTCTCAGGGCTGGGCAGGGGGGGCGGCACAGCCGGGGGGGGGGGACACACAGCAGGGACACAGGAAACCGACGCACAGCAACTGCGGCCACAGGCGCCCTGGCCGGAGCCCCTGCCGGCAGCCTGTCTGTCGGGCGCCGGGAGCTCAGCCTGTAACTCAGCCGGGGGCACGGACAGCTGCGGGGCGGCCGCTGTGAATGGGGCCGGTGCCCCGGCCGGGCGTCAGGGCCAGGCGGCCGGGCCCGGGAAACAATGCCGGGCCAGGGCCCCGGCTCCGGGGGGGCTGCAGCTGACGGGGCCGGGGCACCGGTGCCAAGCCGGGCACAAAGGGGCCGTTCTCCGGCCGCGGCGGATGTTTGCACAGGTGTGGGAGTGGGCGCGCCGCCGTGCCGAGGGCGGGGGGGCGGAGGGGCGGCACCGAGCCCGGCGCCCGGCCGGCCGAGCCTCCGCCTTCGCCACGTGCTGCTGGCCCTGGGCGCCTTCGCCCCTCTCCAGCCGGCGCCCCTCTGCCCGCCGCGGGCCGCTCGCCACCGAGGGCGAGGCCCCCACCAGACCCAGGCCGGGGGCACAGACCTGTGGGAGGGAGGGCGGCGAGGGCGGAACTGGGGCCGTGCCCGCCCGGAGCGGGGTCAGCGTGCCCTCGCCTTCGCTGAGCAGCCTGGCCTGTTGGAAGCTTCCAGAAAACACACAGACTCGCCCGACGTCAGGAGCTCTGTCTGGGAGCCCGGCCTCGTGGGTGGGGACCCGGGAGCGGCTGCCCTCTGCCCCCCCCATCTGAGAGGGGCGCCCGATGGGGGGGCAGCCTGGAGAGAGGGGCCTCCTTCCGGGAGGAGAAGCAGGTGGGGCTGGCACAGGCCCTGCCCTGCCCAGTGCCCCTTGGACCGGTGTGTCCCCCAGGCCCGAGCCCACCGCCTGCCGCTGCCACCCTCTCGTCTCCCTGGTCCCAGCACTGGGCACCCCCCGTCCCAGCTCACACAGCCCAGAGGCCGTGCCCGGGGAAGGGGCACCCGTGGACCCGCTGCACCCGGCCCCGCAGCGGGCGGCCGGCCGGCCCTCACGCCCAGGCTGTCCCCACCAGGGGACGGGGGAGCCCCCACACAGCCCGCCCGCCGAGGCCCCACCTACCACGCCCCACCACAGGGCGTCGGCGTAGCTGCCGAACTCCACGCGGCCCGCCTCGTTCACGGCGTCCTTCTCGGCCAGGTACACGAAGTAGGAGGAGAAGATGAGGCCCAGGAAGCCGATGTACAGGGTGGTGATCAGCTCCTGGGGGGAGGGCGGCTCAGCAGGCGGCGCGGGCGGCGGCGGGCCGAGGAGGGTGCCCCTGCCACAGGCCGCTGTCCCTGCCCTTGACCCTGACCCCGACCCCAGCCCCAGCCCTCACCCCAGCCCCCTCCCAGGCCCCAGCCCCAGCCCTGGCTCCGGCCCCAGCCCTGGCCCCAGCCTCAACCCTGACCCCTACCCCAACCCCGACCCCAGCTCCAGCCCCTGCCCCCGCCCCAGCCCCCGCCCCAGCCCCAGCCCCCGCCCCAGCCCCAGCCCCGCCCCAGCCCCAGCCCCAGCCCCAGCCCCCTCCCAGGCCCCAGCCCAGCCCCGCCCCCGCCCCCACGCACCTGGCGGTGGATGAAGACCACGGAGCCCAGCAGCCGCCAGGTGCCACCCTGGCGGTCCACGTGCAGCATCCGCAGGATCTGCAGGAAGCGGATGCCCCTGGCGAGGGAGGAGAGCCGGTGACCCCTCCAACCGCCCCTCACTGCACCCACCCCGTCCCCTCGCTCCTCCAGCGGGGCCAGACCTGCCCGGCCCTCCCCGCCCGGCCCTCCCCGCCCCCCCTCAGCCGGACCCTCCAGCGGACGGAGGAGCAGACGAGGTCCCGGCGGCGCCCGCAGCCGGCGTACCTGATGGCTGAGGTGGCGAACACCTGGCCCTTGGAGCCCACGCAGAGCACCACCATGGAGGCCACGACCACGATGAGGTCTGCAGCGGAGGGTCCTGTCACCGCCGGCCGCCGGCTCCGCGGGAAGAGCTGGCGATGGCGGGGCCGGGCCCCCAGAGGGACTGTCCCGCACCCGCCCTCCCCAGGCCGGCCCGGGGCCTCTGAGGGCAGCAGGCACCCGCTGTGCCCAGCGCACCCCGAATCCCCGCCCGGGAGCAGCGCCTGAGGGCTGGTCCCCCTCCGGCCTCTCACGGGCAGTGGAGCCGGGGCCCCGGAGGCGCTCAGCACGGGGTCTGCCCGGCCCGGCCCGCCCGCCCGGGGTGTGGCCTGGGGCCTCGGGGGACACTCAGGGGACACTCCTGGGGACACTCCCGGGGGACACTCCTGTGGGACACTCAGGGGACACTCCCGGGGGCCACTCCTGGGGACACTCAGGGGGACACTCCTGGGGGACACTCCTGGGGGACACTCAGGGGACACTCCCGGGGGCCACTCCTGGGGACACTCAGGGGGACACTCCTGGGGGACACTCCCAGGGGACACTCAGGGAACACTCGGGAGACACTCGGGGGCAGCGAGACTCACCAATGATGGAGATGGGCTTGCGGGCAAAGCGCAGCCGCCCCCAGACGCCCACGTACTTGCTGCGGCAGCCGGCGGACCAGAGGCGGACCACGTACTCGGTGCCAAAGAACACCACCAGCACAATCTCCTGCGGGAGAGGCCGTGAGCCCCGCCGCCCGCCGCCCGCCGCCCGCCGCTCCCGCCCGGCCCAGCCGCACCGGGGCCTGCCGGCCCGCCGCCCGCCGCCGCTCCCGCCCGGCCCAGCCGCTGGCCGAGGGCGCCCGGCCCCACAGACCGGGCCCTCGCAGGCCCGGGTGGGGGTGCCCGCAGGGCTCGGTGGCTCTGGGTCAGGAGGAGGCCCTGGCCCGGGGCCCCCGTCTCCGGCCGGCGCTCGTGTGGTGTGTGGAGCCCCAACGCTCAAGCCGGGCGGCACCCAGGGTCACGCGGCCGCCACGGCCGGGGGCTGGGCCGCAGCGGGAAGAGCCAATGGGGTCAAAGGGCATCACGGGCCCCGTCCCAGGAGGAGGGGCCAGGTCACAGCCGGCTGTGCCTGCCACGGGGAGACTCCGCCGTTGCCCGGGCTCCGGAGTGGCTGTGCCCCTGCCAGCCTGCAGCCGGGGGCCTGGGCAGAGCGAGGGCTGAGGTGGGCATCTGAGCGATGGCGGACAGACGCACAGAGGACAGACGGACGATGGGGGGCAGGGGAGACTCCGGCTCAGAAGGCCCGCGCCCACCCACCACACCGGCCAGTCGGGCGAAGTGGCCCCAAAACCTCCCACAGTCCCACCAGGAGGAGGCAGGCACGTGCCTGTGGCCGGCCGGGAGACGGAGGCAAGAATCCCCCCCCCCCCCCCGGCCCCCGCTTTGCAGGTGAGCTCCATCAGCACGGAAAGAACTGGCACCCGTCCGCCTCAGACGTCCCCCCAAATCTGAAGAAGAGGGGCACAGTCCGGCTATGCCATGAGGCCGGCACCACCCCGGCCCCAAAGCCACACGGAGTCACTCCCAGGAAAGAAGAAAGAAGGAAGGATGGAAGGAAGGAAGAAACGAAGGAACGAAGAAAGGAAGGAACAAAGGAAGGAAGAATTAAAGAAAGAAGGAAGGAAGGAAGGAAGGAAGGACGGAAGGATGGAACAAAGAAAGGAAGGAACAAAGGAAGGAAGAATTGAAGGAAGGAAGGAAGGGAGGGAGGGAGGAAGGGAGGGAGGAAGGAAGGAAGGAAGGAACAAAGGAAGGAAGAATTGAAGGAAGGAATGAAGGGAGGGAGGAAGGAAGGGAGGGAGGGAGGGAGGGAGGGAGGGAACCGCCTCCCAGGAACATCGGAGTAAAAACCCTCGCAGAGCCCAGACATGCTGAACAGCCTGGGCGCGAGGACCCAGGGATTTACTCTGGGAATGCAAGGACGGTCCGGCGTTGCGTGTCAATCAGTACAGCCTCACCCCGAGCACCCCGAGCAGTGAGGGGACACGATTTCAGCGCTCAGGGCACGTCCGGCGGAGCTCAGCACCTTCCCGCTGACACCCGCCACGTTTCTGAAAACCCCACCCCAACGGCGCCTGAATGGGGAGAGGCGACAGCTTCCTTCTGAGACCAGGACGAGACGGGTGCCCCTTCCCACCCCCACTTCCTCTCAACGCAGCCCGAGGAGCCAGCCGAGCCGGGAGGGCGACGGCGTGAGGGGTGCCTGGAAGAGAAGGTGGAGACCCTCTGGTGATGGGGACTCATCTGGGGGAGCCCTCATGACCCCCAACCCCTCGAGGCCCAATCCACGGGCTTGGCAATGTGGGGTTCGGAGTCTGCACCCAGGAATCGGTGGCCTTGCTGTGTTGGTTGCGCTGTTTCGGCCAATGGCAGGCAACCCAGAAGGAAGTGCAGCCAATTCCGTGCACGCTGGCCTCCGACAAAGCGTGCATACCCGGGCGTCACTCCGCCACGGAGCGGAGCGGCCTGCGGGCGCACACAGGCTGGGAAAGGCTGCAGCGGCGGCGAGAGCAGACACAGATCAATGTGAGCGCACCGGCCGCCGTGGCCTGGGAGGGGCCGTGGCCGAGCCAGCGCCATGGGGACTGAGATTCGGTGCGAACCCTCAGGGACCCCCAAACAGAAGAAAGGCGTCCTCCACACTAATGGAATCTCAAGGGGCACCCAGCAGCCCAGACACTCCGTGGCTCAGACACTCCGTGGAACAGCCACACCGTGGCACCGCGCTCGGCCTCAGAGGAAGCACATCCTGACGCTGGCTCCCGCATGGACCGGCCTGAAGGACGTTGTGCTCAACAAGTCATGCCGATTGGGGTCAGGCCACCGACAGCAGGCTCCCTGCCCCGTGCCACCCAGGACCCACGTCTGCTCCCAGGGTGACAGCCACGGAGCCCTCCGCCACGGAGCCTAGCACAGGGCGCCGGCGCTGCCGGCTGGCACTCCGCAGTGCTGGCCATGAGGACGCTGTGGTGCCCAGACCCCCCGCCGGTGTGGGGGGCCGGCCCTGTGGGCGACGGGGGGCCTGCGGGAACAGGGGAGGTGTGGCGGGGCAAACGGGCGCAGACTCCGCGCCTCCTGGTGGCACCGTCCCTCCTCCTCCTCAGCTTCAGGGGCAGTGCCCTGGCTGGGAGCTGGCCGAGCCCACAGGGCAGGGGGGCACGTCCAGCCGTCCACTCCCTGACCCAGCCCCGGGGGCACCTGACACGGGCACACCCAGTGGAGACGGGAGGAGGGACGGACGCGCGGACGGGCCGACCGACGAGCCGGCAGGCCCTGCATCTCGGTCGTGTGTCCGGAGAGCGCTCCCGACGGGCACGGGCGTGTCCACCGGCACAGCTGGCCTTTCTATCTCGTTTCGGAGCATTTTTAATTTTTTTAAATATATTTTATTGATTTCTTACAGAGAGGAAGGGAGAGGGATAGAAAGTTAGAAACATCTATGAGGGAGAAACATCGGTCAGCTGCCTCCTGCACACCTCCCACTGGGGATGTGCCCGCAACCAAGGTACATGCCCTTGACTGGAATCGAACCCTGGACCCCTCAGGCTGCAGGCCAATGCTCTATGCACTGAGCCTCACCAGTTTTGGCTTTCGGAGGATTTTTAAGTCACTAAACTCGTCAGCCGCTTCCTGGGCAGGTCTGGGGTGACAGGCGTCTCGGGCGAGACCTCGAAGGAATGGCGGTTGCGAGCCTCCGCCGAGGGACACATGACCCCGGTCCGTCTGCCTCGGCCCCGGGGCCCCTCGGCCTTCGGGGTGCCGGCGGAGACGGGGACCCCCCGGAAGGTGAGGTGCAGGATAATTCCGAACAGTGCTAATCCCCCAATCCTGTTTGGGTCTGGAATGCAGAGCCGGCACTGGCTGCTGGGCTCACCGTATCTAAGCGGCCGGGCCCCAGCTCAGGGACACAGCAGCCGGCGTGCTGGGAGGGATGGGAGGGAGGCCCTGCCTGCGACCTCTGCCTGCCTCAGGGGCCCGGCAGCACGGCCTCAGCCAGACCGGACCTCCGAGCGGCGCCCCCAGCGAGTCCTGGGTACCCGAGGCACGGGCTCCTTCGCATCCACCCGTTCACCCAGCAGCCACCACGCTGCCGGCCCGCGGGGCGCTCCCAGCCTCCCGCGGGGCTCCGGCTGCAGAGGAGACGCAGCCAACAGCACCCTCCAGGCCCGGCGCCCCGTCTTGGGTCTGCCCCCCACGACTCAGCAGCTGGTCCGGCTCCCGGGCGGCCCGGCCTACAGATCAGAAATGGCCCGGCCGGGGACCTTGCCCAGGCCGGGTCCGGGGGCCTCACCCCCCATGGGGTCGGAGCCCCCCGCCTCTCCAGGCTGGGCGGGGGTGGGGGTGCCAGCACGCCCGGGGTGTGTGTGTGGGGGGGGGGCAGCGGCGATCCGGACACCCAGGAGTCAGACACAGACTCAGAGGGCAGGTGCCGTCAGGGCTCACTCTCAGGGCACCGGGGAGCTGGCGATGACTCAGTGGTTTTGAAACGTGTGGGGACAGAGGGCGGCCGCCTGATCTGCTACCTGGTCCCCATCAGCCTCGTCCCAGGAGGACCTCAGAGCTGGGTCCGGGGCTCCCCTGTGGGCACGGTGCCTGAGCTGCTCGCACGGACTGAGCGGGGTCCGAGGCAGCACCCCTGGGCCGGCGGCCGGCACCCCGACCTCAAGGATGAAAGCATTGCTTTCACTTTGGGGGCTCCCGATCCTGCCTGGTGCCCCGCTCTGTTCAAGGATAGGTCACCTTTCGGGGGGCAGTGGGGAGGGGGCACCGGCGGGGGGCCGAAGGACAGAGGCTTGGGGTCAGGGCCGACTGAAGCGGGAATCAGGGTCCAGGGCAAACGTCGCCGCCGACCCTGACGGCCTGTGGGTGCCTGGCATGGCCCCCTCAGACCTGGCAGGACCTGTGCCAGCGCGCCCGTCTCCCTGAAGGCTCTGGGGTGCACTGCCCGGGCAAGGGGCTGCCTCCCCAGGGCCCGCAGACCGGGCCGGAGGTCCCCACCGCCGGGCGGCCGGCCCGGCCAGCTGTTCCCCCCGCGGAGGGAGCGCCCGGCGTCCCGGGTCAGCCGGACGGCCGGACGGTGCGAGGCCGCGCGAGGGCTGCTCAAAGCGCCCTTTGTTCGGGGTCCGCCCGCGGGCAGCTGCTGCAGCTGCGCCCCCGACAGGCTCCTGGCCCCCGACATGTGCTGGGCACAGCTGGGCCTCCGCGCCGCCGCCCCCCACCCGCCACAGCGTCGCCTGGCGTGGGCTGGGGCGCCCCGCGGGGCGGGCGGAGGGGGAGGTGGAGTGGGCAGCTGCTGGGACCACCCTGGGACCGACCTCCCGGCTCCCCAGACCTCCTCCTCGGCCGCCTCGGCCTGCCCCTGTGACCCCGGGTGTCTGTCCCTGCTGCCCGTGACCTCTGACCTGCACACAAAGGCCATGAGGCCCCCCACACACCACCCGGGACGGCAGGTGGGAGGCGCTGTCAGCAGGCGCCTGTGTGTTGTGCTCAGACGTGTTTTCTGTGTTACATTTGCCTCTAACGAGGGAATGTCACTGTGAGGGAGCCAGTGCTCGCACACCCAGCGAAACCCCAGCCGGCAGTGGGCCCCAGGGTGAGCGGGGGTCCCCGTCAGGCAGCCGAGGTGGGGGCGGGGGCACAGGGCCCAGCTCTCCCCGTGGCCGGCAC